CGATAATCCCGCGATCCCTCTGCAACTGCTTGTACCCCTTCTCAAACCCCAGCCCAGCCTCGCCAGCCTCAACATACATCCCCAAAGTCTCGAAATCGCCTCTCCAATCGCCAACCTCCACCCGTCCCTTACTCTTCGTCTCGGCCACCAACTTCATCTCCTCACCAACCTTCTCCACCTTCACCTTCGCCTCCAACCTCCTAACCCAACACTCCTCCGGCCCCTCCCCAGCATCCTCCAAGATGCACTGAACATCTCCATCAGGACCGTCAATATAAAACTCCTCCACATCAGCAACCCGTCCATCCTCGAGCGCAATGTAAAGCCTGAACAGCTTCTCCTCCGTCTCGGGCACCGCCTGGTACGACATGCTCAGCAGCCCTTCGAGCGCCGCGTAGTAGTTGAGGAAGTATTCGGGCTTGCGGTCGTCATCGGCGCCGGCGTATTCGGATTTGATGCCGAATTCGTAGAGCGGGAGATTGTATTTACTGCGGGGTTGTTAGTCAAATGCACTGTGCGGAGCTGTGCGGGGTGGAGACGGACGTGTTGAGGGCGGGGAGGGGGGTGGCGGGGGTTGGTTTGGGCTTTTTGGAGGCGGCTGTGGAAGAGGACTCGGAGGTGTGGGGGCGCTTGAGGGAGGTCATGGTGGATGTTGATGGGGAGAAGAGGTGGAGATGAGGGTGGAGATGAGGTTCCGGTGGTGAGTGGGAAGGTTGGATGGCTTGTTCGGAATCAAGCGTCGTTGGGATGACGCGGATGGGTTAGCTGAATTGGTGATAGTGGGGGCATTAGTTGGCTTGGTGTATATCGATGGTTAGTAAGCGGTGTGGGAGGAGGCATGAGTATGAAAAGTGCAGTTTGCGATTAATTGTGCTGGGAAGATCGAAGTTTCAAGTTGGGGATGAAAGTTACGAGTTCGATTGTTGGGGATGCCGGTTTGGAATCAGAAATCCAAAATGTTGCACGGACGATGTTTGTGGTGTGGACTTGAATAGACGGTTGACGGCTTTGATAAGTGCCAGTCCAGTGACAGTAAATATTACATAGCGGCCGTCCCCATTTTTTTAGAGCATACTTCGACAGCACTTTCTGGCAACAACGAGCGCGAACTCCCCTTTCTTTTTGCAATAGAATAGCTATAGCATACCGACATAGTTCAGTCATTCTAGGTTCTAGATAATAAAGAAAGGTGATGTATTGTGACTGTGATAAAAATACTGGGATGACTGGATCTGATGCTAAACTGGTGTCAGATGTCGCTGGCAAAGAGACCTTATTTTCGCTTTTCTTCTGAGCATGGAGATATTAAAGAAAGAAGCTCGAAATGATAAAGAAATGTATGCAATCCCTTCTGTATTCATCGCTTCAGAAGCAATAGAATATAATAGAATATCAATATTTCTTGCCTTCTTGTCGAGTTCTGCTTCTCGGAGTTGCGATACTCTGTCAAACGAGCACCATATATTGTACAAATACTCTGAACTGTTATCAAATTTGTCTATGGTGTAGTGGATATGGCTTGAGAATTCATTTGTGAAAGGCTCCGCTTCAAGTCTTGATGGTGGATGAGCCTTTTTACTTTTGCGAATGAGGCCTTGTTTTGAATAAATCTAAGATATTAGGATTCAAATATCCTTATCACTTCTATATGATCTCAACTTCAGGGTTGAAGGGACCTCTAAACCAAGGCGAAAAGGAAAAACTGTTCTTATTGCTTACAACCATTCAGTATTTAGTCGATATCATCGCTCAAAAATTGCGCACAGCGGCTATGTATCAGGCAATCAATGCGACTTCTTTGTCTCCGTACTTATATATATATATATATCCTGTGTTCATTGTTTACATTTCGAAATATTTTCTTTTCGCGTTATTTTCGACCCTACATTCTTCGATGCATAGACAACCCCCGGCGCCAGCGCCCAAATAGTGTCCCCAGACCACGTTTACCTAGTTGAAACCTACCACAACGGAGCCTCAGAAGTCGGCAAAAATATCTTCGATCGACACTTTCATGGGATATACGCCAGCCTGAAGGTCGCTAACAAGCGTGCCAAAGAGCTGTTGGCAGAACTCCACAAAAGACACAATAATAACTGCGAAGAGTATGGACTAGATGAAGACGTTGAGAAATGGACAGATTCGGATCGGAGTGATGAGTATGATGGAGATGGATGCTTGACCATCGAAAGGTAAGCTATTATTATTCGAATATTGCAGGATTTTCAATCGGAGCTGTTCTTAATTAACAGTTGGTTTATAGGACATGCTGTGAAAAACCCGGTTATTGTGTATGTGTTACACGACGTGCACTCCGCGATCAAACGTCGAGCAAGAGGGGAAGGGACAGTGTCGAAGTTGATGAAGATGAGTACAGTAGCTCTGATGATTCCTACGCATTCAGTATGCCTCCGGACGTTGAGGTAAGAGCCTACTTGAGCTTTGCTCTATCATAGTCGGTCACCACAAGCAGTTGAGCTGACTTTTGCATCTGCAGCATGCACTTGCTCGTAAATGGGATGAAAGAGATTCCACACCTTTGAGCAGCAGTCCGCCAACCATGCCATACAAGAAACCGAAGCTTTCCAGCGGATCGCAACTGTTCCCCCAAGCTGGAATGTAAGCTCTAATATAAGACTCAGAGCCACACCAAATTGCTAATCCTCTTGCCCGATAGGTTCTACGAAGTCCCAATCTACGAATTTGTCTACGAAGAGACCAAGCCCGCCAACTTGGGCTGCGAATTATACCAGAAGAACAACCCGAACCGCCGGAGTACTTTCTACCTGAACAAATGCTGCGCGATCGAGCATTTCCTCCTCAAGACTAAAATCGGCCAATCGCTGCGTAGCGCCAACACCAAGCAGAAACTTCAGAAGCTTTATGATGACCTCTATGCAGGGAAGTACACTGAGGTTGTCGACTTTGTGGAGGTTGGCTCGGGTCCTGATAAGCTGCCTTGGTGTCAACTTAAGCCCAAGGGGGGGGGCAACGCCTCCAAGTAAGTATATTGTTTTCTTGGCTTAGGCACCCCTGCTAATGGTCATGCAAGAAATCTAGACGAAGTGTTGCAGCGCGAATGCTGGGTGAAGAAATGGGATGCGCGAGTAAAGTTCGAATATGAAGAGGGCGAATGGGAACTTTTTGCAAGTATTCCGTCTCTCAACAGCAAGTTTATCGACGTTAGGGACTGGCTTGGCGATGTCGACTCTGTTCGTCGATACTTCTAAGGGACACGGCCTGGATACGCGGAATTCTACAAACTTTTTAAGATCGACTACGAATTTTATTTTGAAGATGATGCAGCCTTTACTGCTGTAGTCCTTGCTGGTTAGCGCCGAGGAGAGGAATTGAATGCTTTGGGTATGGGTGCTAAAGGATAAAATTGCTGTAATTTAGGTAGAACCAAAATTAAAGTTTTACGTAACGGGCTCTAGTACAACGAGAGTTTGAAATAAAAAATGATTTCGCCCGGGTTCGAACCGGGGACCGCCTGTGTGTTAGACAGAAGTGATAACCAACTACACCACGAAACCAGTTGTTGACTTTTGCACAAGGAAGCATAAATCACCATCTTTAGTTGACTTGGACGGCTGAAAAAAAGGTACTTTTTGATGCTTCACTTTAATCCTAGGCCAGCCCCACTACCCCCGAGGAACAAAACGATGGCGCAATCCAGGGTTCGAACCTGGGACCTCCCGCATCCGAAGCCCGTTTCCTCCAAGGTAGGAGAGTAACAGTGACCCTAAGCGGGAATCGTACCACTAGACCAATTGCGCCGATGCAATATTCTTTTGAAAGTTAAAATCAGGATCGGCAGGCAACAATCCTGAAAACAGAATGATGCCCCAAAAGGTATTGCGAAGTTTTGCTTTCCTTATCCGCGTCCGTATTGAAAACAGGGGACTCGCACGAATTCTCATGCATGCTCTCGCACCCCTGGGGAAATGATCTAAGCAAAAAAGAAGCACTAAAGCAAGGCTTCCATCGTCCCTACTCAGGATTGAACTGAGAATCTTTCGATAGCCAACAGCGAGAGGAAGCTCCTTGAAAGATCGCTTTCTGCATGCTAACAGTCGAACGCCCTAACCAGTTAGGCCATAGAGACACATTATGATTAGAAATGCCGTACCTAAGTTATATACGTGTTTGGCTGAGCTCGTGGAACAAAAGAATGGTGATCAGAGTGGGATTTGAACCCACGCCTAGTTTCCCAGACCAGGATGCTCAATCAACAACTGTTCTCGAGCTCGAGTGTTAAGCTTTACCTTAACCTGGCGCCTTAGACCGCTCGGCCATCTGACCAGACGATAAAAGTGACCTCTCGTATCAAATTTGATACGTTTTAAAAGCAGTTGGGCCTTGACATAAATACAAAACCAAATTGTACGAGGCGACAACCCGGATCGTACGGATACCCTTTCGAACTTCCCACACTTGAATGCCCTGCATAGTCCATGCTCATGCTCTGGAATCGAACGCGCTACCATTGCGCCAAGCAGCCTTCAATAGAAATCTAGCCAAAGGCACATATCGATCACTCATTTTGGGCAGATAGCCTCTTCACCATTTTCGGAGCGGACTTCGAGATTGGTGTAGACCGGACAGTGGCAGCTGACAGCGACGTTGATAGAAACACCAACGGCTTGCTGTTCTCAGGGCTGAGGCAAAGGATAAGGATATGATGCATCATGTCATTGACATACAGCCCAGGCCTCGAAGTTCAGAGCCTAGGGAAGAAAATTTAGGGGTCTAAACCTGTTCCGAAGCGAATTGTAGATCCTCCGGATCCGCAAGTGCCAAACTGTCTAAAAAATAACCACCTCGCCTCGTTAATTAAACACTGCACCACTGGCAGGCTAGAGGCCACTGCGTTTTCCTCGTGGAAATACACCTTAAGGCCTGGCCTAGGCATCCCACACTGTTAACACATCTTCAGAGAAAACAAATTCTCGCATATCCCGGTGCCTCCGGTCTATTTTCTAAACATCCTATATATACTCACAATCCGCCGCCTACAATCCATCAAATCCAACAACGCACAACAACCAAGCCATCCAACACACCGGCTGAACCAGAACTTAACCTCAAGTTCCAACCACAACAAATCTCCACAATGGTCAATCTCAACATCTTCAACTGGTACGCCCGCGCCAACGAGGCTATCGCCGCCCTCCCATACGCCATCGACGCCCTCCTCACACGGGACAACGGCCTCGCATCCTTCGACCCATCCACGCGAGTCCTGCCCTACACCGACCGGGAATGGGACTTCCACCACCCCACCCCCGGCAAGCTCCACGACTTCAACGACCAAGAATACACCGTCTGGTATGACTACGACACCAAGCTGGACCCCTACCTCTCGCGCATCACCCGAAGCCTCTACCTCACCTTCGACGAAAACATCATGGACTACGACTCCATCTTCAACTTCTCATTCCCCACCACCAGCCCCATCTTCCCCGGAACCATCATCCTCCCCCGCACAAACCTCGACGTCGCCAAACTCCTCATGTTTGAGGACTTCCTCGCCGTCCACAGCGTCACCCGCGGCCGCTTCATGCCCTACACATCCGACCGTGCCTTCGAGAAGCCCAGTGTCCCCATCACGACCAAGAAACGTCTTGGCGAGCTGGTAGAGGGGAATCTTGCGATGGCGGACTTGACGGCGGCGGGAGTGAGGACTAGCATTCGGCTCGGGTTGAGAGAGTCGAAGTTGAGTGAGGTGGAGCAGGCGTGGATGGAGGAGGAGACGCTGGAGGAGGCGGAGGAGAGGTTCAGGGAGGTCAAGAAGGCGGTGTATGCTAGATGGAAGGCCGCCAGGGCGGAGGTCGAGGCGAGGGAGAAGGTGGTGGACGAGATTGAGACGGGTAGTCCGACCTCCCAAGTGGGGGTTGAGGATCCGGCGATTCAGTAGGCGGGAAATCGCTTCGGGGTTTTTTTGTTTTTTCTGTAGAGTTAGGTTAGCTTGGATTTCTAATAAAGTTTCCTGCAAACTCCGCGCTGTGTGGTGTTGTATTTCTTGTGTCTCTCTTGTGTCAGAATAGAGAACTTCTTGATACTAATGTCGCTACATTGACGTCACTCTAGCGGAAACAATAATTCCATTGGCTTCTCGGTAAAAGAGTGCGGATCGGTACAAGACAAAAGCGCTGCCTCTCACATCTGGTTTCGTGGTGTAGTTGGTTATCACTTCTGTCTAACAATTGTTTCACAGGCGGTCCCCGGTTCGAACCCGGGCGAAATCAGCTTTTGCCGGGCGTTCGGTCATATTCTTGGCAGATTTCGGCCCGAGGAAAGTCGCAGGCGCTACTTCTAGCTCTTATTTATCGAATGGTTTCGTGGTGTAGTTGGTTATCACTTCTGTCTAACACACAGGCGGTCCCCGGTTCGAACCCGGGCGAAATCAAGCTTTTTGCCCGTCACCGGTTCTGTCTGGAAGCCTATCCTTTTGCTGAGTAGGCCTAGCTTCCAAGGCATCTTCGATATCGATCTTCTCGTGACAGACAACAGACCACTCAGCCGTACAGCAGCGTTGCATGAACCAGTCCTTTAATATTAACATTACAGTATAGACTCGCAAACAGAGCTAGTAAACCCTCCCTCCCCCTACCCAACCTAATCATCCTCCGCCGCAATAGTCGAGCTCCCCCCTCCACTCGTCTCCGCCAATATCCGCGTCTCCACAACATTCCCCACCCCCTCGGTATACACCGCCGCCAACACCTCCAGCCCCACAAACGGCGCATACACCCACTCCTCCATCGTCACCTCCCTCCCATTCCTCACAACAGTCTCGTTGAATCCATTGAACCGCATATCAACCTCATAATGCCCCACCCGCTTCTCATCATAGACCAGCCCGTCGTTGCGCAGGAACTGGTCGTAGATCTCGCCGTTCTGCAGTAGCACGCGGTTCGTGTGTGCGTTGCCGCTATAGTCGTTTACGCTGTATAGGATGTTGAGGTCTTGTTTGAAGCCGCGGGCTTCGAGGGTGGGGCGGCCTTCGGATTCGGCGAGGATCTCGGAGGAGGAGGAGGAGGAAGACGGGTTGAGGATGTCGCCAACGCCGTCGGTTATCTCGCCTACTGCTTTTCCGATGGTGCCGACTAGGGGGTTGAGGTCTAGGGAGTCGAGGACGGAGGAGACCATGGCGACGAGGTTGGCGAGGCGGGCTTCGAGGAGGACCTTTGCGGTTACATTCTGGATGAGGAGGCGGACGGAATCGACATGGGCGTCTACTCCGGCGTTGAATTCGAGGAGGTTTAGGACCTGCGCGTCGAGGTTGATTTTGGCGGTGAGGTTCTGGACGAGGATGGAGATCTCGCCGACGTGGACGGAGGCGTTGAGGAAGACGTCGGGTGGGGGGTATTCGGGGTCTGCGAGGGCGGGGGTTGAGGCGGTCTCGTAGATAACGGATTCTTCATCGCCGGTGATGGTGAGGTTGTAGCCGGTGTAGCCCTCTGATGTGTCTTGGGCGAGGGCGAGGAGGGGGGAGAAGAGGAAGAGGAGGAACGTTGAGGACCGCATGGTGAGTGTAAAGAGCGTGGTGGTGAGAAGAGGAAGGAAGAAAGAAGGAATTCCACAATCAGTGGGAATAAAGAAGAGAAAAGACAAAACTCCCTGCTCATAGGCGTGGATGACAATTCCGGTCCTCCTCGAGGTTCAAAGGAATGTGGTTGCAGTTGAAACAAAGGCCGCAATCTTAGCTCGGCCTCGCATATCGCCTCTTCCCTGTCAAATATGCAGGAACCGGGGGCCAATCAAGGAAACGTGGAGCCGCTCGACTTTATCCTTCTTTATCCGCCCTATAACGGTGGAACCCTAAGGACCGTTCGGACGTTTTCTGCCCTGGAACCATCGCGGTTTCCTTGATCTTCATGGCGAATCTGGATGCAATTCCCTAGGACTGCATCGGAAATTAGGGACTAATTTAGTAGAAGACGCGCTGGCGTACATTTCGTGATCTCGGAGGGGACGGGTGGAGCGGTGGAGAGGATTTACTACCTCTGGAGGACTGCCGCCTCTTGTTCTCTTTTCTTTCATCTCTATTCCTTTCCCTCCCCTTCCGTTCCCTTCCCTTCCATTCTTTTCAATCCATCACGAACAATGAAGTTCTTCCGCTCCCTCACCCTCCTCTCCCTCTTTGCCCTTCGAGCCCTCGCTCAGGACGAAGAGACAACAACCACAACGGACGTCTCCACCACCTCCTCCGCAACCGCAACCACCACCGGCAGCACCGAACCCACCACAACCTCCACCTCCACCTCTTCCTCATCTTCTTCCTCCAACTCCGTCCCCTCCACCAAAACCACCACCTCCTCCTTCTTCGACCCCTCTGCTCCTCCCGACGTCTATCTCAACGTCCCCGAACTCTCCGTCGGCCGCATCGAGCTCAACGTCGACAACCTCTCCGCCGACATCAACCTCAACGCCAAAATCGCCCAACTCGTCACCATCAACGCCGGCGTCCAAGTCTCTGTCCAAAAAATCAACCTCACCATCGCCGATGTCCGCGCCGAACTCGACCTAACCGTCCGTCTCGGCCACCTCGTCGACATCGTCAACCGCGTTTTCGAATCCCTCGATCTCAACCCTCTCCTGATCGACGTGGTGAACGGCGTGACGGACCTAATCGGCGATGTCGTCGGCGCAGTCGACGGCCTGTTGGGTAGCATCACCCAGGGCGGAAAGACTCTCAACTTCCTGATCGACAACCTCGGGCACATTGTGCAATCCGTGACCGAAGGCGAAGGCAGCCCCGTCAACACCATCGTCGGCGACTATCTCACCAACATGACGTTCCAGGCCGGGACGGAGAAGAAGCTGAACAATGGGTTGGTGCAGAAGACGTATTTGTTTGAGCCGTTGAATAGTTTGGTGGATGTGGTGACGAACACTGCGGGGCAGGTTGTGCAGGCGGTTGTGCAGAAGAAGAATGGAGGTGGGGGTGGGTCGAGTACGAGCTCGAGCTCCAGTGCTACTAGCACTGCGACTAGTACGACGGCTACCAGCACGAGCAGCAGCGCTACTGCTACGGCGACTGAGGAGCCTGAGGAGACGCCTGAGGCGCAGCCGGTGAGGGGGAAGGGGAAGGCACCGCATGGACATGGACATGGGAAGCGAAAGTAGTGGAGCTTGTGGGACCGGAAGTTTGCGGGAGGGGTGATTGATGAGCCTGAGCTGCTTCGATAGTTAGACTTGAACTGTAATCGTAATGGAACTTTTTGCTGGAATGCCTGTAGCATTACATTGCTTTCATGAGATGATTCTCATGTTTCGGCGTTGTTATCGGCCCCTCCAAAGCTGTGCCGGCCGAAAATAACCCGCTCAACTACTAGCTTCGGCCTCCAAGAGTTAGCGCATCTTCGGCAAAACATGGAGCCCATACCCAATCGAGTGATAGCAAGTGGCGGTTGCCCATGAGATAGCCGGTCAGGTTGTGTAATAATAACAATATAGCTCCCAAAGTGCTTACTTACAAGGCAAAAGAAAGACATTAGCCATGTGCTGTAGTTAGAGGTTTGTTGAGGGTTGTTGAGGAAGCGTTGTGAGCCACGCTGCCGCCACCAAAGTTTACACGGTCGACCCAGCGATGGAAAAATATTCGCGAAGATAAGAGGCCCTCGGAAGTGTGGGCACGGAAATTGCAAAGAATCTCTCTTCGGGCTTGGAATGCGTAGCATCTCGAGATGTGCTGGAATATCAGAAGCTTTTACTGAGTATTTCGGCCCAAGGAAGCAAGTGCTTGGGGACCAAATCTTTCTATAGCTCTACTTAAGTAGGTTCAAAAGCAAGAGAGCAATTTCCTTCTCCCACCGAAAGCCCAAAGGGCAAAAACACACTGCATCGGCCGGGAATCGAACCCGGGTCGAATCGATGGCAACGATTCATCATACCACTGGACCACCGATGCTGATATGTTTCCGTTTCGTTTTCTAGCACATATCTTCTTTTGTTCTTATCGATGGAGGGTGGACGAAACCATTCCGCATTGATCATCCACAAAGGACTACCAACCTGGCAATGATCTTAACAGAAGCGCACGGGAGACCTAGCCTGGCCGACCTCATGATTCGATCTATGCACCATGTCAAGTACTCCGTACAGACAAACAGCACTGGCAAAGTTAAGACCTTGCGACCAATACTAAAATTCGTCGCTGAAGCAAAACATTAGACATACAGCACCAAGGATTCCCGCGTGGTCACCCACCGCAGTACTAACTTGGCGATTATAAGCTTGACTATGGGAGAGCGGACGGGATCCCGTATTTTCTTCAATATATGGCCGAATGTGACTGTACCGGAGATCCATTTCTAACTCAACTCGGGTGGACCCTTAAGCTTCTCATGTGGAAGAGCAATAGAAACATAAAACAGTTGACTGACAACAAGGGTATGATTATCCAAGACATACGCATCCTTTCCGTCCCACTAGTACGGGTGCCCAACAAGCTCTAAGAACCACTACATGCATTACTATTACACTCCCTCCACCTCAATCCACTAATCCTCAAAATTCACCGCCAACCACCCATTCTCCCTAATCTGCGACCTCTCTGGATTCGTGCCATCGAGCTTCTCATACCTCTTCCTATCATGACAAGTCCGTCCCTTCAGACACTTTGCTATCCTGATACCCGCCTCCTTGCCCTCCTCATAGGCGCCATGCATATACCCAAAATACTGGGCGTTGGTTGCCTCACCCGCAAACCACAGCCGTCCGAGATTGGCTCTCAGATTGGCATGCATGTCGAGCGAGTATCCTGTTGGCCAGTTAGAGAAGGAACCGTATGTCCACTTCTCTTGCGTCCAGCGTGGGTGCATAAACGCGATTGGCTCGGGGATGGTGACGCCAGGGTACATCTTTTTGAGGACTCCGAGAGCTTGGGCCTTGGTTTGTTCTTCGGATTGTTGCTCGGCGCGATGGGATTGGTCGTTGACGACGGTGACGAA